AACCAGTTCGAAGGGAGCATAGTTTGCTTTTTGGGTTAAAATAATTTCTTGGTATGAAATTAGAATGGTATGACAATTAGAGATTAGACAGTACAGAAATTGAAATCTACACGCTTATACACACTATATTCACATAGTCATGTAATGGTGATGTTGTTAAAATTAACAATTTGAGTATAAAGTATAACAATAATAATAATTTGCACAGTTTGATGATAACCAATCTTTAGATTAAATCACCATTGGTAGCGTGATTTGTTGCAATGCTTTTTTCCACAGTTGGTCAGAACAAACGTGGCAGACTTGTTACTTGTTCAGATGACAATATCCGGTGAAAATGCTTATTTGAGTCATATATTCCAAGACGTAGGCTAAAATCTGTGAGTGCAAAATACAATATCCACACCGGTGCTGTGACTGACTGCCACACACACATACTCCTCAAAACATTAGATTCATCTGCGCTGGAGCCATGCCGCCGCACAACCCACACAAGGAAGATAATTCCGCACACAGCTGCAATTCCAGGTTTTCAAACAGATGGCGACAAAGAGGCAAAACTTACGGACTGCAGCTTTAATTCAGTAATTAATATGCAAACAGTATAGTTTACAATCAAACAGTTAAGCATTTTACATTTAAACAAGTTTTTGAAACTGTTTACAATAGTAAAGTTCAGCTGTTGATTTGTAAAAAGAACATTTCAGTTTATATATTAAGTAGTTTATATTTGCACAACATGGTTTAAAAGAGAACAGTTTTGAAGTTTATATTTAAAAATGTTTTTGAAACCTTTCAGCTCTTTATATCTGAAACATTCAGTTTTCAGTTTAATAAATTTACATTCAGTCATTTGTTTATATTTTTATCAGTTTGCGTTTGCAATGCATCAGTTCAGTATATCTGAATAGAACAGTTCAGCAGTTATATTATATATTTGAACATCACAGTTTACAGGGGACATTTCAGTAGTTTTCAGTGAATACTTGAGCACATGTGGCATTTTAGCAAATTGAACAGTGAGACTTCAGTGGTTTTTAATGGGTCATTTCAGTCATTGACAGTAAAATAGACAGAATCAACCCACCTCACAGAGGTGGAGGATGAATTAAATAACGACCATGGTTCCTGGGAGTTAAAACGTGTCTTGGTGTGTCAGTGTTACTGTTTTCCTCCTGCCACAAAGGTGCCACAGGGTACTGTTAGCCTAAAGAGCCGAGTGCTCCTAAACGGCTGTTGTCTTCTAATTGCTTTAATAGCACCTGGCTGGTAATCCCAGGTAATTATTGAGCTGAAATTAGACAGCTACTTCAAACATCTCTTAAAAGGAGCAAAAACTGCCTCAGGAACTTGCAGCTCTCTTATCATGCATGCTGGAAAAGTGACATGGAAAAGTGGTTGCGGGTTTGTATTCGTGTGGAGCTTAACGTGTTCTTCCCCACCCCCATGTAGCATGTGAGCGTACGCAGGGAATACTTGTGTAGTCCGTTCAGTTCATCACACTTAGTTTCTGCTCTGGGTGAATCACTGTAGTTGATCTTGGATTGAATATGAGACCCTTTATTAAGGGGAACAGGCTTTTTTATAATTAAATTATTAAAGCAAGACACTTGAATTCTAGTTCGAGGTCACTTAACAGAAAAGGAACAAAAGAAGAATGAAACAAAATGAGATGTTCTACATTAAATGTGAATGTACATGACTGTAAAAATACATTTCATAACATTATTCAACTATTGACCTTCATTGTTGGGTGTTTACTGTTGTGGCAACATCTTGATCATTGTTATTAGTCTGTGTGTGTGTGCATTTCTGTCTCTAGAGCAGAAAGGCTCTCGGAGCCCCAAGGGCCCCTCACTTGACTTTTCCCTCCTGCTCTTTCAAGACAACCATAACCTTTCAAATTGTGCAGACAGACGTATAAACGCACAAATAACACACTTGCCCTCAGTGGCATTCGTTCGGATCTTAGCATTTAATTATGGTAATCTAAGAGGCAAGTATTCGAAGAATTTAAAGGAAGTTACAGCGTCTAGCCAATCTACTCAAACCACACCTTTAGGATGTCACGCTTCCCTTTATAATATCATTGTTCTTTTTCTAGTTTTTGAGTTTTGGTCTGTGATTTACATAAGTCTACTCTGGGCCCCTCACAAGCATTTTTTTTTAGGTCTGTGCGTCCTTGAATCCTCCTGCCGTAGCAGATTCTGTCCAAAAGGGGGCGTTGTTAAGCTGCCATGCATGCGTGAAATGTTGGCCAGCTGATGTATAGCACTCTTATCAGGGGAAAGGCAGCGTCTCTCTTCCTTTGCACACACAGATCCATACAGATACCTGTCCTATGGTCATGTATTTCTGCAGGATGAGCACTCTTTTATAACATGTTAGATTTGTATTTAGATGTGGAATCTATCAGGGCTGCATTCATCAGATAGCTGCAAGTTTTGTCTCAGACTATTTGATTATCGTTATTAAAAAGTTATTTTGAGGGGAAAAATGCGAGCGCATGCACCACAGAATATGAATTCTGAGCGATACCATATCCGTAACGCAGCGGCTCCGTTTTTAACGGGATTATGTCCGAAAGTGGCCAGATTCCTGGTGCGAAGGGGTTCTGCTGCTTTGTGTTCGTGGATTTGCAGGATTAGAATTCTCGTTCCTCCGTTTAGTTGGACTCTTAATCCAGACTGATACAGCTTCAAAGGCTGGTCTTTATTAATCATGTGTTTACATTATCCATGGTCATACACTCCTTACAGACCAAAGCTCTCATTAGAACGAGCATGGAAGTCTTTTGTGTGCATTTTTGTGTGTGTGTGTGTGTGTGTTTGTTCAAATTAGAAAGAGGGTTTCAACAGAGGCGACTTTTAACAAAGCTGAGCTTACAAAGCTAATTGGAGAGAGATGGGTTGGATCTGATGTTCTTGATTAGAATTTAAGGACTTTTGAAGAAAAGAGGGACAATAAGAGGGTTGTATGTGTGTGTGGGATAGAGAAAATTGGTGTGTTTGAAAAATGGTAAAAGCTTGGGCTATATGAGTTGTGTGTAATTTGGTGTACAGTTCATGTTTCTGTATAATTATGAGTTGTGTTTTAATTCGTTTCTCTTTTCTGCATGCATTATGCTACACATTCCTTTTGTGTATAATGAAAATAAAAAGAAGTTTATTTATTTCTTTCTTTCATTCTTGTTTAATTATTTTAATATATTTAATACATTTTAGAACATTATTTCTATTAATATTTTGATTGATAAATAGACTGTGAGATGTGTTGATCCAGATTCATTTCCAAGTCAAAGCTGACATGTCATTAATTTTGTAAATAATTTGAATGTCAATAGTACATATTCATCTCTCTTTTCTACACCCTTTCCTCTCTTTCTCCTTTCCTACAGCCCAGTCCAATTCCTAGTCCTGTTCTTGGTGGGAGGCCGAATGCAAGTCAGTCCCTGTTGGCCTGGTGCCGTGAGGTCACAAAAAACTACAGAGGCGTCAAAATCACCAACTTCACCACTTCCTGGAGGAATGGACTGGCATTCTGTGCCCTGTTACACCACTTCAGACCCGGCTTAATGTAAGCCATGCACAATTATGAAAATACACATTTATACATAAGCCTTAACACACAGGAAGTGTTTCTGGAGGTGGTTCAGTCAGCAGTACCCATGTTAAGCACATGGGTGCTGACACAATTTACCCCACGTTAAAGTGATAGCTCACCCAAAAATGAAAATTGTCATATCGTCTTTTATGTTTCACATGGTGACATGGTGAAACCATTTCAATTAAATGGTTTTGTACACTGCCAATTAAATGAATAATATATTTTTTAATCTTGGGTAAATTTCCTTTGACATAAAACTACTTTTACCTGCCATGTGGAAAATTCACTTTGACATGCAATAGCATTAAAAAAATCACTCTGCTTATGTGATCTCTCAATCGCAGTGACCAAAAAAAATAATAATTACAAGTCAGTTGTTAAAAAAAAAAAAATACTTTTTTGAATTAGCCTTATGACACTGGAGATTCACAGTTTATTTATTATTGATTGTTCATTTTATTGTTAAGCCATTTTCAGCTGTTGCCTTTGATCAAAATAATCATCAGATGACTCATTAACCTCTATATAATTAATAGCGACAGCCCTAAACTCTATGTATACACAACTCACTTAATTCACCTCTCTCTCTCCCCCTCTGTGAGAATCTCACTTTGTGTGGGAGGTCTAATATGGTTTCTGATGAAGAGTTTTTAATCCCTCTGTCTTATTTCTGAACATTTCTGTGTCTGGTCTCATCAGGAATGACTTAAATCCTCCTTAATTATTACACTTACAGCAGATTCATCACAGTGCTGACAGCACCACGGCCAACCACCCTCTGGGTTTAGCATACGCTAAAGTACCAGGAATCTGGCCGCCATCTATTTAAGGAAGATATTGACTGATTTATTATCTTTGATATATTTACGAAATATTTGCATTGATTTAACATGTGAAAACATTTTCACACAAGATAAGAGACATCCTGCTGTTTGCTTCATGAATTGTCTTATTTTGCATGATTGATCAATGACCATTATTCCAAAAAAAGTACATTTATTCCTCTCTGTTATGATTTTTCTGTTGATGTAACCAAGAATGCAGGCAGAAATATTAACTAATATTACTGCAATATACTTTTCACTTTTTCCACTTTTTCTCACAAATTCCATTGAATAAAATGTACAGTATTACCAGCTGAATATGCAGTTAATGTCCATTTTTAGAGTAGCCCACTACTGTTTCCCCTGCTGAAGAGAAAAGACCCCAGGCACACAGTGGGTAGGGTTATGGAGAATGAGAGACGAAACGTTTAATGTGTTGAGTGGTTGAGTAAAAGTGTCTGTGTGTCTAATTTTGCTTGCACTCACACACACTATATTAGTTGTGTTGATTGCAGAGCTGTGAAATTGCATGTTACAGCCATTACATGAGATGCATATTTAAAGCTAACTCTTTCTCACTCGCTGTTCTTTCCTCCCTCCTAGTGACTACAAGGCTCTCAATCCTCAAGATATTAAAGAAAACAACAAAAAGGTAAATGCTACACACTCTCTTCCACTCTTTGTTTGTTTGTGCATCAGTAATCCTCCTCATAGGTGATTTATTTTGTTATAACTCTGATTCACTCCCACCCAGCGTTCTCTAATTGCCACTTTCAGAATGCGATTCCCCCTGCCGACACTGATGGAAAGAGTGTGTGTGTTTGTGTGGATGGAGTAAGTCACCTGGGAGTCGTAAGATAGCATCATAATTCATAAACATGCTATAGATAAACTTTACAGGCTTCTCTACAGAGAGAGCAGGAAAGAGAATCAGAGTCAGAAAGGCTTTATTGCCAAGTGTGTTCACACACACACAAGGAATTTGTCTTGGTGTTAGGAGCTTCCGGTACAGAAAATACAAACAAAGTGCAGACATACATAAAATGAGAGAATAGATAATAAATTATAAATAACAATAGTAATAAAAATATACAGAAAAAGGAAAAAGTAAGTAGACAGAACTGTGAATGTGCATATGTGCTATTTACAGATGAAGGTTTAATGAGTTATTTACAGATGTGCAGTACTGAGGTGTGTTATGTGTTGTTCAGGTGCGATATGGCCTGGGGGAAAAAAAACTGTTCTTGTGTCTGGCTGTTTGTGTGTTATGTGTTGTTCAGGTGGGATATGGCCTGGGGGAACAACTGTTCTTGTGTCTGGCTGTTTTGGTGCTCAGTGCTCTGTAGTGCCAGCCAGAGGGCAACAGTTCAAAGAAAGAGTGGGCTGGGTGTGAGGGGTCCAGAGTGATTTTGTTAGCCCTTTTCCTCCCTCTGGAGATGTAAAGTTCTTGAACGTTGGGTAAAGGGGCACCAATAATCCTCTCGGCAGTCCTGACTGTCCGTTGTAGTCTTCTGATGTCTGTTTTGGTAGCTGAACCAAACCAAACAGTTATAGATGAACACAGGACAGACTCAATGATGGCCAAGTAGAACTGTTTCAGCAGCTCCTGTGGCAGGTTGAACTTCCTCAGCTGTCGGAGGAAATACAGCCTATGCTGGGCCTTTTTCACAATAGAGTCAATGTGATTGTCCAACTTCAGGTTCTGAGAGATGGTGTTGCCCAGGAACCTGAATGACTCCACTGCAGTCACAGTGCTGTTCATG